ATTTCAAAACCAAAAACACCGTTGGAAAGGTAATTTTCTGTAGATAAGGAGAGTTTTTATAGTTTCGAAATTGGTTGAAAATCGTCGTTTAAAGATTTCCATATTTGTGTATGGTTGTTTTTGCAACCTGTTCAATTTAAGCTGTTTCGCATTTTGTTTTACTTCGTACTTGAAATTAAACTTTGAAATAAAGATAAATATGAAGATGAAGAAACAAGTGATAACGATGAAGACAAAAAAATGCAAAAGTGAAGATAAAGACGAAAATTGAGATAAAGACAAAAATGTAGACAATGAGTGTTGAGTTCGAACATGCAAACATTAAGGTTTTAGTAACACACAAGTGTTAATGCATACACGCGCGCAAGGGTTAATGTTATGAGCCCACACAAGAGTTAACAGCATTTGACATTTTGTTATTCTTTTTCTCGCTTTCGTTCGAAGATGTNAAAATGTAGACAATGAGTGTTGAGTTCGAACATGCAAACATTAAGGTTTTAGTAACACACAAGTGTTAATGCATACACGCGCGCAAGGGTTAATGTTATGAGCCCACACAAGAGTTAACAGCATTTGACATTTTGTTATTCTTTTTCTCGCTTTCGTTCTTAGATGTATTGTTAGCTATCGTTGATACATTTACATTGTTTTTTCGTACCTTTTTGCATTTTCTCGAAACAGCTACCGCTTTTTTTCTGCGCTGCATCGTTTTGCGAAATATATTGAGTTTACCATCCGCAATTGATATTTTAAGAATAAACTTTAACCTAAGCTAAACCAACTGCGTTTATTTTCATTTTGGATAACCCCGCTTGAGGTTTGGAAAATTGCAAGCAAAACCGCCTAGTCGTTTTTTGGTGCACCAGCAATCTGCTGCAACAATGAGAAATACATAAGAATTAGGTTAACANATACTCAACAACAACTGTGACCTACGAAAGGCAAATCAAAAGCAACTAACAATGTCCGTTAAAACACGCGATTCTGCGCTTAATGCCATCAAGCGATACATGACAAAAAGCATTGATGAAGGATTTTCCATGGATTCAGAAACGGTCACAAGATGCAGTGGAAATTTCTTGTGGAAGTGACAACGCCGAATTGGAAGAAAATGTACGCATTCAAGCCGAAACATGGTACTCTACGTCTTTGGCGAATTTCAACCGGGCACAGAAGTGTCGTACACCACCTCCAAGTCAAAGTGCTGCATCAACGCCTGTGTGTGCTTCTATACGCTTACCGGAGATGGAGCTACCAACCTTTTCCGGTGATTCTACAGAGTGGGTTGGCTTTTATGATGCGTTCTGTTCATTAGTAGACGCCAACGCTACACTGTCGGACGGACAGAAGTTGCATTACCTGCGTAGCTGTTTAAAAGGTGAAGCATTGAAGATCATCAGTGGTTTCCAGATTTGCGACGCAAACTACAAGGAGGCGTGGGACTTGTTGAAGTCCCGCTTCAAGATCATGCGAGTCATTGTTGAGGCGCACTTCAGAGCAATGGCCGACATTCGCAAAGCCGCAAGTGATACTGCCGGCGCTATCAAAGGCGTTCTCGACGCATATCAGCAGCATATTCGTGAACTGAAGGCTTTACGTCGCACCGTCGAGTTCTGGGACGATTGGCTGGTGCACGAGGTGGTAAATAAATTAGCGTTCGAGACAAGGAAGCAGTGGGAGCTGTCACTCGTCAGTGATGAGCCCCCCACTTTCGACCAACTATCAGCGTTCCACGAAGTAAGGTGTCAATCGCTATCGATGCTTTCGACAGCAACCGGTTCAGCAACACCAGGTAAGCCGACTTCAGCAAGCACAGCAAGCAAGTCTGCCAAGGTTTTCCACGCCTTGCCGGAGAACAACAGTGCGAGCTGCTCCTACTGCAAGGGTGCTTTATGCTTGCGATAAATTTATCCGTCTCGATTCCAATGCTAAATCGAAGTTTGTTAAAGAATCCCGTGTGTGTCTAAACTGCCTAAGTCTTGGGCATTTCAAATCTCGTTGCAATAGCATGTCCGCATGTCAATTTTGCCATCAACGCCATCATACGCTACTGCACAACACCGCGTCCGCAACTAGTGTCACCGCTCCTGCTCACAATGCCGACAACGTACAACACGTAGGGGCTAACTACGCTGCCGAAGACGTAGCCCAAGTTGAAAATGCAACCGCTTTATCCGCCATTGGATCTTCGACAGACACCGCTGCCGCACGCTCTTCTTCCTGCTTGAAGTCGAGTCCAAACCTAGTACCTACAAATCTAAGAACTGTTCTGCTTGCTACTGCCTTGGTAAAAGTACGCGACTGCTCCGGTCGTTTTCAATCCGCACGCTTATTGTTGGACTATGGGTCGCACGCCTCGTTCGTGACAGAGTCATGTGTTCAACGCTTGGGTCTACCAAGGACCTCGTCAACGGTGGTAATTACTGGGATTGGATCCTCGCAAGGTGGCCGATCTAGAGGTGAGACTTTACTTTCACTTTCATCTTATTCCTCAGATCAATGTTATGCAATCAATGCGCTGATTTTGCCGAAGATCACAAGTGACTTGCCAACTCAGGCCTTAGCCACTCATACATGGCCACATATTCAAGGGCTGGTCTTAGCTGATCCGAATTTTATGAAGCCTGGACCAATAGACATATTGGTCGGGGTGGACGTTATGGATCGGCTCATCTGCTCGGAAATTCGCAAAGGCCCCCAAGGGACGCCTATAACGCAACGGACGGTATTCGGTTGGACACTTTTTGGAAGTGTTGATGGCGCTAGCTCCTCAAACCCACGTCTACAATCACTACATTGCGATGTGCAGTTAGATAGAGCACTCACGAGGTTGTGGGAGCTAGAGGAGGCTCCGCAAAAGAGGCATCTGACTTACGAAGAGCGCTTCTGTGAAGAGCATTTTGAATCGACGCACCAGAGGTCACCTGATGGTCGATTTATCGTCGAACTGCCGTTAAAAGCTGATGTTACCTTGGGAGAATCGCGATGATTTGCTGTTCGGAATCTTCTCCGCATTGAGAAAAAACTCGCTGTCGACAACGAGTTGCGCTTACGCTATAACGAATTCATGCGAGAACTCGTCGACATGAACTACATGGAGCCTGTGACCGAAGCGATAAGTCAAGCGTTCTACATGCCGCATCATCCCGTCATAAAGGAGTCGAGCGTTACAACGAAGTTAAGGGTTGTGTTCAACGCATCAGCAAAAACCACCTCTGGTAATTCACTAAATGACGCCTTGTTTGTGGGACCGCAATTACAACAAGACTTGGTCTCGATACTGATGCGTTTCAGAACACATCGGTATGCTGTAACCGCAGACGTCGCAAAGATGTACCGCCAAGTTTGCGTATCATCAAAGCACCTTGATTTACAACGTATCGTTTGGCGCAATGATCCGTCTTCACCCATCCAAGATTACAGAATGTTACGCGTCACTTACGGAGTAGCGGCTGCATCGCATCTAGCCGTTAAATCGCTGCAACAAACTACAAAATATTCCAGTAACAAGTCTGAGCAGGCTGCTAAGGTAATCCTCAAGGACTTTTACATGGACGATCTATTGACCGGTACCTCCTGTAAAAACGAGCTGCAGATGTTGCAACGGAATGTCTCGGATATTCTAAGCGAAGGTGGCTTTGAGCTTCGCAAGTGGGCGTCGAACTGTGTGGAGCTGAACGAAAATATCTCGAACGCATCCAAAAGCATTTCGCATTACATAGCAGAGGGTAAAGATGTTCACGCTTTGGGTCTCATCTGGGACACGGAAGTAGATAATTTCACATTTGCAGTTAATCTGTTTGGACTAAGAGAGCGTTTTTATCGGGCGCTAGTTTGCTCCTCGATCCTCTGGGATTGCTCGCCCCAACGACGGTTAAGTCCAAAATGTGGTTCCAGGAGATTTGGCGTTTCAAAGTCGAATGGGATGATGTCGTGCCTGACGCGATAGCAAAGCAGTGGTTTCAACATCGCTCAGAGCTACGAGATCTTGTAAATCTAAAAGTTAATCGCTGGCTTGGTACTGGAACGTTTGGCTCATCAACTAAACTGCACATATTCTNACTGCCTTGGTAAAAGTACGCGACTGCTCCGGTCGTTTTCAATCCGCACGCTTATTGTTCGACTATGGGTCGCACGCCTCGTTCGTGACAGAGTCATGTGTTCAACGCTTGGGTCNAAAGACCAAAGTGGCTCCAATTAAATCGACCACGTTGCCTCGTTTGGAGCTTTGTGCCGCGCATCTCGCTTCGAAGTTAGTATGAAGCGTGTTGCACAGCTGGGACGATGTTCAATATCCGATGTTCGCTTGGACAGATTCAACCATCACGTTAGCGTAGCTGCAAGCGCACCCGAGCCGGTGGGTGACGTTCATTGCCAACCGCGTCGTTAACGTGCAAGAAGTGCTACCGCCTAATTGTTGGAACCACGTCCGCTCTGAGCAGAATCCTGCTGANCTTGCCAACTCAGGCCTTAGCCACTCATACATGGCCACATATTCAAGGGCTGGTCTTAGCTGATCCGAATTTTATGAAGCCTGGACCAATNTGAATTGTTGAGTCCTCAGCTGTGGTGGACTGGCCCCGCATTTCTCCGCACCAATTAGCAATTCTGGAAGAAAACCGCATCCAAGCATCACACGACTGAAGTTGGCGCTCGAAACAATGTTCCGGTTCATGTCGTCAACCCCGACGAGCATTGGTCAGCGTTGACGAACTATTCGTCATATTCAAAGTTACGACGGATTATCGCCTATCTTTTGAGGTTTTCCTGCAATGCTCGAGCTAAATCCGAAAAACGATATGGTCCTCCAAGTTTCCAGGAGATAGCCGAAGCCGATTTGCGCTTAATTAGGTATACGCAACACTTTTATTTTCTAATGAGATTTTTCTTTGCCGCGCAAAAAGGCCTATCCCGCTACGCAGCAGTCTTTTGCGTTTGCAACCGTTCCTTGACAAGAACGGTGTTCTACGGGTTGGTGGCAGACTGAAACAGGCCGAACTTACACCTGATGTAAGGCATCCCATAATTTTACCGAAAAACTCACCTCTAGCGAAATTAATTATCTCCGACACACATAAATTCACTATGCACGGTAGGCCTCGCATCATGCAAGTCGTTTTACAACGTCGGTATTGGGTCATTGGTGCTCGTAACCTGATACGCAACATATACCACAAGTGCGTTAAATGCACGTGTCTTAATCGCAATCTCGCCGTACAGTCAATGGGGGATCTACCCGCTTCTACGGCTACTTATGCCCGCTGTTTCACTCGCAGTGCAGTCGATTTCGCAGGTCCATACCTGTATAAATTTACGCATGGCCGCGGAGCCAAAGCCACCAAGGGCTACATCTGCTCGTTTGTGTGTATGTGCACCGGTGCTATGCATTTGGAATTCGTGAGTGACCTGACTGCATTGGCATTCCTCAACGCTTTCAAAAGATTCATCAACCGTAGAGGATACTGCAAGGTGATGTTTTCTGACAATGGCACGAATTTCGTTGGCGCTGAAAAGGAGCTGCGTCACAATTTCAAACGGTGTATGGCTGACGATAAACTTCGCTCGTTTTTCGTCGATTCGAATATCGAGTGGCGTTTCAATCCCCCCGCTGCACCCCATATGGTAGGATACTGGGAGACGGAAATCAAACGGATAAAGTACCATTTGAAACGCGTGTTGGGTATGACCTTACTTTCCTTTGAAGAGTTCAGCACGTTACTAACCGAAGTGGAGGCCTGTGTAAAATCCCGTCCATTATGCGAAAATCCCGCAAGTGCAGGCGACCTCGAGGCACTAACTCCTGGGCACTTTATAATAGGTGAGCCGCTGAAATCCGTCCCAGAACCTGAGGGTCAAGGGTTCTGTGGAAATCTCCATCAACGTTGGCAGGTAATTTCTGCGATCAGACAGCATTTTTGGCGTCGCTGGAGGGACGAGTACCTGGTGAGCTTACAGCGTCGTTCCAAATAGTTTCGATCCTCACGTAATATTGCAGAAGGTGACGTGGTCGCTGTTTTCAATGAGCCTACTCCTCCGACAAAATGGGTACTTGGCAAAGTCCTGAAATGCCACCCTGGAGCTGATGGATATGTGAGAGTGGTTACTCTAAAGACCCCTAATGGAGAATACGTTAGACCTATAGCGAAGCTTTGTCCTCTGCCGACGAAAGGAGATCTATTTTGCGAAGAAGACTTGTAGAGAATAAGCTTATCGAATAATATTATAATATTGTTATTTACTTTTTCATACTATCGATGTAACTATGTATTGAACATATCGAGATAGTTCAAGGGCGGCGGTATGTTGAGTTCGAACATGCAAACATTAAGGTTTTAGTAACACACAAGTGTTAATGCATACACGCGCGCAAGGGTTAATGTTATGAGCCCACACAAGAGTTAACAGCATTTGACATTTTGTTATTCTTTTTCTCGCTTTCGTTCGAAGATGTTTNTTCGTTCTTAGATGTATTGTTAGCTATCGTTGATACATTTATATTGTTTTTTCGTACCTTTTTGCATTTTCTCGAATCAGCTACCGCTTTTTTTCTGCGCTGCATCGTTTTGCGAAATATATTGAGTTTACCATCCGCAATTGATATTTTAAGAATAAACTTTAACCTAAGTCATTTTTTTTGAATGAAAATTTATTGTGGAAAAGCAACAATAATTTGAAAAAATGGTAGAAGTGATAGCTATTTCGGAAATCACCACATTTCCTCATCAGACTTCTTTCAGTAGGATTCGAACCGACGATC